TCAGTTAGGAAGATCCTACTTGAGGCTAAAGGCTTTCTTATTCTCATGTCACCATCTACCTCAGCACACTCCCATTCCCACAGAAGACTTTTGTGTATGTTGGGAAGGTTAATTTTAAGAAGATAAAATCCACCATATTCATTCTCCCAACTGTGACCACAGCCTTCCTCAGGTGAAGCCTTGCATACTAAACACATCATCTCTGTGCTGTGCTGGTCTCAGAACTCATTGCTTTTTCTGCTGACTGCAGTAGAACACTGGCTGGCTAATTCTGATTTTCACAGTCTGTCTGCATTTCAGCTTGCTTCCCTCATCAGGGACCTGTCCCTGGGAAAGATACAGAAGGATAATTGGCTAATCAATATGGAGAGCAGCGCCCTAAGGGGAGACAGGGGAGTTGTGGGGCCTCAGAGCAGACCGCTCAGCACCTTTATCCTCTTCCCTCATGATCACACTAGCCACTACCTCACCCAGATCAGGACATGAGTGCAGCTGGGGGCCTTGCACATCAGTCTGTTTGGAAGAAAACACCCCAGGAAATCTTACAATTAGCAACATGCTTCTGTGAGGAGAAATTCACACAGTGTGGCCTTTGAAACGGACTTACTGAAGAGTCGGATCACCTCAGTGAAGACAGTCCCATGGACAGGTCTGTTGTTCATAGTAAGGACTGTGAGGACAGGGTCCCAAATCAGAATCTGTAGGTGTGGACTGCCAGTCCCCCAGTTACTTCAGGGACAGCAGAGGAGGTTGCATCACTCTAACAAAAGCAGCTCCTCCCACTTTGCCTCCACACCATGTGTTTCCATTCTGCCTGGCCTTGAGCAACTGTCAGGCATACTAGAGAAGGTTCTTAATATCAGAATTCACAACAATCCACTCCTCAAAATGAGCTTGCAAGGATACCACACCCATGACTGCAAAGTGATGTGAGATACGAAGGCCAGGTAACCCTAAATGAAGGGCCACCTGCACCCCACCAGTGATTGTGAGGACAGTGTTTAGGGCAGTCCTGAGATGCCAGAGGCAGATGTTATTTTAGCAGTAGCTGCAGCGGAGCATTTAAAGATAAGGAGGGTTGTGGTTTGGTCTTATTTAGTGTAGATCACACACTGCCTAATTCTTCCTCAGATACTTGACCTTCCTGTTTATGGGGAGATGAAACATGGGTTCAAAAGTGCATGCATAAATGTATATATAAAATATATGTATATCTGCATATGATGTTTTAAATGATTTTTCTGGGTGGACTGTGAAAATAAACCATGCCTTATATGTTTTATCTATGCAGTGAATTTGTATTTCTCATCATAGGGCTCCTGAAAGACTTTCAACCATAGTGTGTGTCAAATCTGCAAATAAAGACTCCTTGGCCACAGAGTGGTATGGATATTTGCTATTTAATAGACATGGAATTCAATAGTTACTATGCTTTTCACTATGCATTTTGAAAATAAGACTATGCAAGAGACTAGCCTGTGATTAATCCACTTTATGAAACATACAATTTTTGGAAATACATGTACTCAGGATATTCAGTGTCAGGCCCATTTGGCTTATGTGTAACTGCAATGCTCAAAGATCCTGGAAATGAAATACTTAATTCCTATGTTCTAAATAATGTTTCTTCTACATGTGGTGGACTCATTTCATAATAACCCAATGATTTGTGTAAATGTGTTTTATGTGATACAAAATAGACACATTTCAAATATTACTCAAGAGAAAATGATTCCTGGATGACACAGTTATCAGCATAGATAACTTGAGGTTTCTTGCCTGGTCCTCAGGCTGATGCTAGTTCACATTTTCTCCCTGTGCCCATATCACTGCCCTGACTTCTCACACTGGACATCATCTGTTCCACTATGGCATTTGTCTAAGTTGTGTCCAAATCATAGCTTAAACATGGGCTGCTTAAGTTGTCCCCATAAGGCTCTCTGTCCTCCTTGCTTCTCACTTGAGGTCACAGTCTATACCTATATGGCAGGAATGAGGCACAGCTAACCTTAGAGGAAACTGGTACAGCCTCAGCCTGTGATGGGGCTATGATGTCAGCCAAGGGACATAAAGACAAAAACCTCAGGACAGTGACCAACACTAAAAAAGGTGGCTTTTGTGTACTGGAGGAATCTTGCATTCACTGTGCTTTCCAGATGTGTGGTAGAGCTAACCTGTAACAAGACTGCATTCATTGATAGATCCTTGGGCACTGGCATCACAGTACAGTTAAAAATAGGGTGTGCACCTCGGGAGGCAGAGGCAGGCAGATCTCTGTGAGTTGGAGGCCAGCCTGGTCTCCAGAGCGAGTGCCAGGATAGGCTCCAAAGCTACACATGCCCAAAACCCTGTCTCGAAAAACAAAAACAAAACAAAACAAAACAAAAAATAGGGTGTGCAGAGTGAGGATATGAAAATAGGAGACTGATGGATTTCTGCCTCTCAAAGCCTCATTTTAACAATGTAAGCACAAATAAGAGTCTGATCATGAAGGATAGCTGATCTATCAACAAAGCTCTGGAGTTCCTTTGATGGAGATTCCCAACCGTGGCATGTTACAAAATACCTATAATGTAAAACACTGGTACATGACTGTATGATGCCAGTTTAGCTGTGTCTTGGAACAACAATTCACAGGCTCTTCAGTGGAGACTTCTCTCCACTATAGAAGCTTCTGAGGGATTCTCCAAGAACTGTGCTCACAGAGCTGGGCTGATAGTGCAGTTCATTGTTGGTCAAAGCTCTGGGAAATCAGACAAGCCTTTGGTATTCCCTCCAGAGCAACCACAACAGTCAGAACCACAGGGGACGAACCTCCACACCAGTAGTGCCTGTGTCTGGGAAGCACATGGAGGGTGCCTGAAAGGGGGCAATGGGTCTTACTCTCTGCCAAGGATGTTAGCAAGGGCAAGGATGTTGCCTCACTGAGGTCACACAAGCTAGTCTCACAGAGGGCCGTGGGCTGAGTGCCTCCTCAGTAACTCAAAGGGTCTTGTAAGTCACCTGGTAGGTGACTGTAGAAGGTGCTTATCTGGGGAGCAAATGCTGTGGGTTCTGAAAAGAGCACATCTGTGGCTGACTACATATCTGGGGTTGCCCTGCTTTCTTCTGACAGGGTTCTGCTTCCACACACTGGTTTTACTCAGCATGTGCTACATGTCTGAGTAGGTATCAGGCCAGGTGTGCTTGAAACTTAAAAATCTGGGACCTGTGTAGTTATTACAGAGTTGTTTGGTGATTCTGTCCTATGTCTGCTGGTGATGTTCAATTGTTTGAATTACTCCAGCTAAAATCTCCTGGTTCTGATTTGCTGCTGAGGTCATTATGCACCCAGGATCTAGGTGCTGAAGCCAGAACAGGTCAGGCCTGTGTGACCATGTTGTCACACATTTCAGTAAGATTTCTGAGTACTTCCAATCATGTCACTTTGTGTATTTAAAAGGTAGATTACCTAAATTCTGACCCCAAACAAACCAAACTAAATGACTTAAGCTTCAAAAGTGGAGCAGATTCTAAATTTGGACAAGACTCTGTGCAGACTGAATGTTTGTAACCCAGAACATTAATGTCTCCTGCTTCCCAAACATGATGAGAATATGCAAGAATATTTTTTTATGATTTCAATGATGACACACAGCCAAGATACAAATCACTCATCAGCACTGACAACTAAGATATCATTTGGAATTGCACACAGCTGATATTGTGTCCCTAAATATTTGCTTAACTGGTCTCCTCTACATCGTTCCACACATTTCATTACACAGGGCTATGAGTTAATTCTTAAATGCTCATTAGTGACCTCAGTACATTTGTCCACAGCACACTGGGCAGCATTCGAAGTAGTTACTGGTGTGAGCTGTGATGTAACTTGTTAGACTTCTTGTTAAGTGTTCTGTAATATCATATGAAAGAACCTAGGAAAAATGTGAGTAGCAAATAGTTAACATAGTAACTTTATGCCTCTGTAACAATGTAGGACTGTCGAATAAAGTTCATGCTTTCTAACACAAATGGCCATGGCTTTGGAATGAGGTATGTTTACTTATGCCTTCCCATAGGAGTAGTGATGCCTGGTTCACTTGCATGATCTAAACATGTTGGTGTGTTCTCTCTAATAGATGAGATAATGGCTTTGTACCTGGAAGTTAGCAATTTCAGAATTCATGTTCTTGAAGATGCTTTGAGCCCAAGGGACAATGGTGAGCAAAAAATATTCTCATCACATTACCATCATTTTTAGCATTTCTATGAGGCAAACCCCAAGCCAACAAAAGCTATATCTAGGATCATGAGAAAACCATCACTTCTTCCTAGAAGTGATTGTTAGGATAAATTAGGTTAAAAATCATAATTTTGAGTCTTGTTCTAACAGAAAACTGGACACAAAAATGAATCCTCTGGAATGCATTATGGAAGCAACCCATACACTGCACAGTAAGCTTATACTTTGCTTGAACAACTCATGGTATTCTGACTTAGACTAGAAACCGGGTTCTCAAATATGAAGCATACAACCAGTCCACCAACCATTTCCTTTAAGTAGTAGCTGTTTTCATTCCAGCCACATGACTGTCACCAAAGAATGGCTTTGACCATCAACAGATAGAATCTACGTCTCCAGCTCACACACTGGAGGCAAGGAGGCTAAGGCTGTGCCAACAGCCATGCTTGAGTCAGTCATAATACCTCTTGGACAGAATAACTTAAATACCAGACATGTTAGACTAGATTTCTTACTACATTTTACCATAAATATCTCAGCAAATTGTCCTGACAACCAATCTAAATAACAATTTGACAGAAATATGAAGCCTAGATGATAACTTAAAGGAATTATTTGAGACAGACTTTAAGTTCACATAGGCAGTTTATCCATTTGGTGTTGAGAAACCCTCGTCCTGGAATTGTTAGGATGCCAAGGATATTAATACTAGAAAATCCACGCAGAAAACTGACCCCAAATCATGGCCTAAGCTTTGTTAGTATTTAAAGATTACCATTTTCTTCTTCCTCTTCCTCTTCTTCCTCTTCTTCCTCCTCTTCCTCTTCTTCCTCTTCTACATCATCCCCATCTTCATCATCATCATCATCATCATCTTCCTCCTCGATCTCCTCCTCATCTTCCCGATCCACCTCCTCATCTTCATCATCCTCATCCCCTTGGTCATCATTGTCCTCAGAAAACTCCTCTTCCTCATCTTCCTCCTTATCATCCATGTCTTCAGTACCATCACTCTCAAAGCATTCATCTACTGAAGAACTATCTGCTTTCACTGCAAATGGCTTTCGCTTGGGAGCAGGTTCTTGGGGCTGCTTATCTTGCGTTTTCCTTTTTTTAGCCAAGGGACAACCATATACACTGATTAAAAAAATAGAGAAAGAGGACAGAGAAAGAGATATATGTTACTGCCTGAATATCAGAACAATAGGATGCCTTGCAGACATTTGGGATTGAGCATAAATATCACCATGCAAATGCAAGGGGCCAGGGTACTACTGTTCTCTCACATATAGTTCTGCTAATGAAAAATGACATGGCATCGAAGTACTGCTTGTATTTGTCTAATTACCATTAGCATGTAATCGGAATCTTCTATCTCACCATTGCTATGATTCCCCATGGCGTAGAGACCCTAGTTCAGGAGGACGGTTATGAAGCCCTTTCACCAGATGCTTCTCAGGCAGTTGAAAGTTCAGATTCAAATGACTAAACATTTTACTATAGCTATATCACACATGATGTTTATACACACACACACACATATATATATATATATGCACACCATATTAACATATACTTATTTATGGAAATATAGGATGTGCATCCTCTAAAAGCACTTGTGTATGCTTGGGTCTATATATTGTGAAGACCCAATAATATCCTCAGATGTGAAAGCCTACTAGAAGCAGACAAACCATAGATGTTGATGATAGCTACTGCCCTGTTTAAAGGCTGGTCACTGTCAGTCTTGGACAATGTCAGTCCCATCCCCAGCTCCCAGAGAATGACTTTGGGATTACGGGCAGTGGCCATTAAACCAAGATGAATTTGGGTCAGACTCTCCCTCCAAGCTGAGCTTATATTCTTTCCATGAGAAAAGATGATTCTCCAAACTATGTTGCGTGTTTAGTTTCTATTGTGTTTTTCTTCCTGGAAAGCCTGCATGTGCTACCAGAAATAAGGAGCAGAGGGAGTGACAAAAATTCTACGGGAAATAATGCATGTGTCTAGAATGCCACTTAAGTCCCCTTTTAACTGGTCAGTGCAATAGAAGATTTCTTCGGACTTGGGCTGCCTCAGTGTGGTGGTTTGAAAGAAATTGGCCCCCATAGGGAGTGGCACTATTAGGAGGTGTGACCTTGTTGGAGGAAGTGTGTCACTGTGCAGGTGGGTTTTGAGATCTCCTTTGCTAAAGCTATGCTCAGTGTGACACACAGTTGCTTCTGCTGCAACTGTGATCAAGATGTAGAACTCTCAGATCCTTTTCCAGACCATGTCTGCCTGCGTGCTACCATCGCCACCTGCCATGACAATAATGGACTGAATCTCTGAACTGTAAGCTGCCCCAATTAAATGTTTTCCTTTAGCAGAGTTGCTCTGGTCATGGTGTCTCTTCACAGCAATAGAAACCCTAACTAAGACACTTAGTCTGGAACCTAGGAAGGGTGACACAATGACAGATCTTGGTCATCCAGTGTTATCCTATGGAAATCCTATGCTTTTTATCAGATGTTGATGCAAAGGGACATAGCTTTCATTCCAGGGCTGAGATCCAATAGTGACTTTGACATGTCAGTGGTATCGTTTCTAATCCCTCACTGTTCGATACAATATACCACAAACAATTGGCCATTATGGCACAGAACCAATTCGGATCAAATGAATGAACTAAAGGTGGTGAATCCTCTCATACAATATGTGGAGTGCACCATATCCAAGGGGCAGACAATCAAATGCCAGGAAAACCACCAGAAAGAAGTTATTCTGTGAAGAACCTTGAAGGGTAGAAAAGTGCCATCTAGCAGAGAAAAAGACACTTGAATCCATATAAAATTAATCTGCAAACAATATGAATGTAAGAGAAAGCGCAATGTCGTTCAGACAACTGAAACATGAGCCCCAAGGAGCTGAGAGAGGTTAGGGCAAGGGAGGAAGATAACCGGGACTGTGTGATGTGGCAGGCAGGGGCAGATCCACCTAGTGGGTGGACTGTGGGACTCTATCTGAGTTCTTGCAGGCAGTTTCTGATGCCACTGGCTTTGTGTGTTGGAAAGGCCATGGTTAGCTGCTAGGATGATGAACTAATGGGAGGCTAGAGATGGCCAGTAAATGGATGCCTGTTGTGGCATCCAGGCAGTGGAATGGGCCAGGCACTGAGGAGGATGGCCGGATGACTGACTGCAGAGATACTACACACTACAGTCCAAAGGAGCCTCCCTTGCACTCTGAGATTCCATGGTAGTAACAGGCTCTAAGCCTCTTAGGAAAAGAGGTGAGGGTGGGTGTTGACGTCAGGCTGCATGACCGGGTATACAGTGCTAGAACATGGTGAATGGAGTTTGTCTGTGGGCAGGGCTTATGAGTTGAATAATTTTGGATGGATGTTCAACGTTGTATCTCAGAGTCACCAAAAAATGTGACCATCTCTCACTGGTTCCTTAATCATGAAATGTAAAAAATAAACATGAGGTGAGTTCAGTGCCTGGCCCAGATTACATCATCAGTCTGTGACAGTATTTGCTGCAAAATCATACCTAATGTCTTCTGCTGTCATTGACATGTGATCAGATCTTGACAGCTGTGTCTCCTGATGGTCAGATGGCCCCTTATGGTTAAGCACCCTCAGATTTTGCCTCATAAATCAGAAACTAAGGTATCAAGGATATTCCCAGTTGCCATATATGCACACCAAAGAAGGGTCTGCAGCCTCAAAAGACTTGGGGTTTATTATAATACCAGCTACACTGTTGCTTTCACATACTTGTGGGCTTTTCAAGAGGACAATGGGAAGAAACAGCCTAAAAGGGAGATCTGTCTTGTCTACTATCTTGGAAGGAAAAAGAAAGCCATCTTACCTCCATAAATGCTATTATCATAAATAGTACTAAAAGTCTCTTGCAAAAATAACAAATCCAGGCCCTCTCATCAGCCCTCTCTCAGCTGTCTGGAAAGCACTACCTCTGCTCCTGCTTCTTTTTTTTTTTTTTTTTTTTTCTAAATTAACTGCTTAAACTATTCATTCATATCTCTTGGCCAAATTCTTTCAATTGAGAAGACAAGAACCGAGGATAACTCCAGGCCAGTAATAGGCCACTCATGCATGTGTCTGAGTGCTAAGGCACTTGTGCCTCGTAAACATTTCATTAGACACAACTGGGCTCTATTGCAAGGCCCAAGTTTACCCATCTACATGATGAATGGCTATGAGACCTTCACAGCCCTAACTTTTGAGGTTATTTAGGATGACTTCCTAGGGTGACAATTTTCCTTGTTGGCATATACTATTTAAGTGTAGACTTCAGCCTTCCAGCCTACTTATATTTTGAACGGCTTTTTGGAAAATGTGGGCTCAGTGTGTTAACTGTAGGATTCACTGGCCTCAAACACTTAACACTTCTTGCCAGTTCATTTTGTTTGTTGCTCTGGTGTTTCTCTATGTCTTTAAGGCACAGTGAGAATAGTCTCACCTCAGCCATATGAAAACTCCTTGACATCTCTCACCGACGGCCAGCTCCTGGTGCCCAAACTCAATGTGACAACAAATTCTGAGTCCAGACACATTTCACCCTATGTTAGAAACTGACTCGGGAGCCTGCTCAGATCATCAGAGACCTGGAAAAACTCTGGGACTGTGTTTGGGGTGTGGATCCTGACACACTCATGTTTTATGGATGCTTTTTCTGCTGGTGGGTGTCAGCTTGGGAGGAGAAGGAGAGAAGTTTCATCCTCACCTATGCCCTTGGAGTACTGTGAGCTACCACAGTTGGACTCCTATCCATCAACACATTCATGTTTTTCCAAATGACAACAAAATCACAGTTCTCACATGTCCTCAGATTGAAAAAAAACCAAGTGGAATTAGTAACAAAGTGCTTGAAGCATCCATGAAGCCACCTAGGTGAGGGGTACAGTTGATGTCTTTGGCTTCTCTCCTCATGTTCTACATGCACAGACTATCCAAGAGCAGCTGCTATTTAAAATAAAGCTCATTGACTCATTCTTTAATCCTGTGAATCACATAGTGTAGCCTTACCAGTTGTGTGCCTTCTCTGAGGGCCCAGTGGAACCTGTCTGGTGGTGTCCCAGCGAACACTCAGGGAAAACCCATTATGTCCTTGCTGGTGAAGGATGAGAGTGTACCATGCCTTAGTGGGATTACAGGTTACATGATGCCTTTATTGTTCTCCAGAGTGGTGTGACAGGAGAATCTGTATTCTGTTGACTCGTTAGCTTCTGAGTTGCAGCATCTAACATTGTAGTCTCATAACATATGCAGGTGCTAAGTTAAAGATAACTTGCAAGTCCAATTTCTGTGCTTCACTAGCCACATTTCAGGTATCCGGGGCTACATGGCGCTAATGGTTATCAAAAGGTCAAGGCAGAGATGCAATCTTATCATCCAAGTGTCCCCCCTGGCACTTTGAGAGTCTAGCATCCCTTCTAGATTGTTCAGTGCATTCAAGGTAAGTGAAGAAATGATGGATGCCATGGAGATGAAGGTGAGGATGGACCATGGTAGAGTGACCTGGAATTTGGAAGGCGTCATAAGGCTCTTGAAGGCAAACTTAGAAAGACCCACTGGTCCTGGAAAGCATGCGAAGAGTATCCTGCAGGCCAAGCACCCACACCTGAGGGATGGAATAGTGTTGTGACTTGGTCTCAAGTATGAACTGAAGGTTCCTTCCTGGTCTCCAAGCAATGCACACCTGAGGATTAAGGGTGTTGTTGGAGGTCAAATTCATTTGTAAGGTGCTGACTTGCTCTTCCTCTCCTCCAGGCCCATCAGTTCACATAAAATATAATGTGAGCACTGCACTTCAATTGCATTTATATTTTTATACACAATTGAAACATCCAAGAATTAGCAAATAAGTTTACTGCCAGCATCATTATAGTTCAATAGTATTTCATTAACCAAAATAATTTTATAATTTTTCCATAGTGTCTCCATAAAGTGGTTCTCAATGCAGGCACCAGGCATAATCACAGTTGCAGCCTCACCTCAGAGAGTCAGGCTCTCGAGTTACCTCAAACTGCCCTCAAATTCTGTGTGACATCTCTGTCCAGAGATAGAAGAGAAAATTGAAAGTAGAGAGAGAAGGGAAATAATGCTTAAACAGAAACAGTGTCTGGGCTCT